AGAGCTTTTCCAAATTTCAATCCTTGACAAGAGAATGGCCGGTCCTCCCCGTGGCCTTCAAAACGAGACGAGAAGCCCAAGCCCTCTACCTTACCCTGCTGTGAAGCAGGAAGAGAGCTCACTCCAAGTTATTCTTGGTAAGCGACGAGAGCTTTATTTCAGCAGAGAGAGCCTTTACCTCTTAGTAAGTCGCTTTTATCTTAAGAAGATTGAAGAGACTTCGCTCCTAGCAAGAGAAGAAGCAGGAAGAGAGCTCACTCCAAGTTATTCTTGGTAAGCGACGAGAGCTTTATTTCAGCAGAGAGAGCCTTTACCTCTTGGTAAGTCGCTTTTATCTTAAGAAGATTGAAGAGACTTCGCTCCTAGCAAGAGAAGCCAGGGCTCCCCTTGCTTCCAAAAAGAAAAGTCTTCTACTTCATCCTCCACAAGAAATGATTGAGAGCTTCCTCCCATGTAATGAGACGGGAGAGAGGGCCATCTCAGCACAGCAGACAGGCCCCTTCAACTTCACGAAAGACAAGAGAGCTCCATCTACCCCCCAAGGTTTTGTAAGAACTCAGATCCCGAAATCACAGATCGCAAGGGGTGTCTCCCCAAGGTTTTGTGAAAACTCAGAACCGAAAACCACAGATCGCAAGTGGTGTCCCCCTAAAGGTTGTTATAACAAATAAGTTCCAAAATCAGAACCGAAATCCACAGATCGCAAGTGGTGTCCCCCTAAAGGTTGTTATAACAAATAAGTTCCAAAATCACAAATCGCAAGGGGTGTCCTCCTAATCCCTGCGAGCCGCGACCGAGCAGAAAGCCTGTAAATACCGCGTTAAAAACAACGGCCAGGGACCCCACACATCTCGCGCAAAATCTGGCGGAAGTGATCCGCCACCGAGCAAAAAGCTTGTAAATACCGCATTCAACAAAGGGCCAGGGATTTCACACATCTGTTGGCAAAATCTGGCGGAAGTGAGCAGTCGGTACTTCCGCCAGATTTTGCCAACAGATGTGCGAAATCCCTGGCCCTTTGTTTAATGCGGTATTTACGGGCTTTTTGCTCGGTGGCGGATCACTTCCGCCAGATTTTGCCCGGATCCCTAGCCCTTGAAGTGGTGGGTGAGAGGGTGGTGGGAGGGTGTCTGGGAGGTAGCGTGGGCAGGAGGTGGAGGGAAGGTTGTGTAAGAACTCAGATCCCAAAATCATAGATCGCAAGTGGTGTCCCCCTAAGGTCTTGTGAAAACTCAGATCAGAAAACCACAGAGCGCAAGGGGTGTCCCCCTCATCCCTGCGAGCCGCGACCGAGCAGAACGCCTGTAAATACCGCGTTAAAACAACGGCCAGGGATCTCACACATCTGCGGGCAAAATCTGGCGGAAGTGATCCGCCACCGAGCAAAAAGCCTGTAAATACCGCATTAAACAAAGGGCCAGGGATTTCACACATCTGTTGGCAAAATCTGGCGGAGGTACCGACTGCTCACTTCCGCCAGATTTTGCCAACAGATGTGTGAAATCCCTGGCCCTTTGTTGAATGCGGTATTTACAGGCTTTTTGCTCGGTGGCGGATCACTTCCGCCAGATTTTGCCCGCAGATGTGTGGGATCCCTAGCCCTTGAAGTGGTGGGTGAGAGGGTGGTGGGAGGGTTTAATTCCCGGCCCCAATTAAATAATTTAAATAATTTAAATAGTTTAAATAATTTACATAATTTAAACAATTTAAATCCTGAGGGAGGGGGTGGGGCGGGCGGGTCCGGACCCCCCCGCGGGAATTAAATAATTTAAATACGGGCGAGGCCCCCGGATTTAAATTATTTAAATTATTTAATTCCCGGCCCCGCCCCTCCCCCAGACCCCCCTCCCCAGGATTTAAATTATTTAAATTATTTAAATTATTTAAATTATTTAATTCCCGGCCCCAATTAAATAATTTAAATACGGGGGAGGCCCCCGGATTTAAATTATTTAAATTATTTAATTCCCGGCCCCAATTAAATAATTTAAATACGGGCGAGGCCTCCGGATTTAAATTATTTAAATTATTTAATTCCCGGCCCCAATTAAATAATTTAAATAATTTAAATAATTAAATAATTTAAATAATTTAAATCCTGAGGGAGGGGGTCCGGGGCGGGCGGGTCCGGACCCCCCCGCGGGAATTAAATAATTTAAATACGGGCGAGGCCCCCGGATTTAAATTATTTAAATTCCCGGCCCCGCCCCTCCCCCAGACCCCCCTCCCCCAGGATTTAAATTATTTAAATTATTTAAATTATTTAATTATTTAAATTATTTAATTCCCGGCCCCAATTAAATAATTTAAATACGGGGGAGGCCCCCGGATTGAAATTATTTAAATTATTTAATTCCCGGCCCCAATTAAATAATTTAAATACGGGCGAGGCCTCCGGATTTAAATTATTTAAATTATTTAATTCCCGGCCCCAATTAAATAATTTAAATAATTTAAATAATTTAAATAATTTAAATAATTTAAATCCTGAGGGAGGGGGTCCGGGGCGGGCGGGTCCGGACCCCCCCGCGGGAATTAAATAATTTAAATACGGGCGAGGCCCCCGGATTTAAATTATTTAAATTATTTAATTCCCGGCCCCGCCCCTCCCCCAGACCCCCCTCCCCCAGGATTTAAATTATTTAAATTATTTAAATTATTTAAATTATTTAAATTATTTAAATTATTTAATTCCCGGCCCCAATTAAATAATTTAAATACGGGGGAGGCCCCCGGATTTAAATTATTTAAATTATTTAATTCCCGGCCCCAATTAAATAATTTAAATACGGGCGAGGCCTCCGGATTTAAATTATTTAAATTATTTAATTCCCGGCCCCAATTTAAATAATTTAAATAATTTAAATAATTTAAATAATTTAAATCCTGAGGGAGGGGGTCCGGGGCGGGCGGGTCCGGACCCCCCCGCGGGAATTAAATAATTTAAATACGGGCGAGGCCCCCGGATTTAAATTATTTAAATTATTTAATTCCCGGCCCCGCCCCTCCCCCAGACCCCCCTCCCCCAGGATTTAAATTATTTAAATTATTTAAATTATTTAAATTATTTAAATTATTTAATTCCCGGCCCCAATTAAATAATTTAAATACGGGGGAGGCCCCCGGATTTAAATTATTTAAATTATTTAATTCCCGGCCCCAATTAAATAATTTAAATACGGGCGAGGCCTCCGGATTTAAATTATTTAAATTATTTAATTCCCGGCCCCAATTAAATAATTTAAATAATTTAAATAATTTAAATAATTTAAATAATTTAAATCCTGAGGGAGGGGGTCCGGGGCGGGCGGGTCCGGACCCCCCCGCGGGAATTAAATAATTTAAATACGGGCGAGGCCCCCGTATTTAAATTATTTAAATTATTTAATTCCCGGCCCCGCCCCTCCCCCAGACCCCCCTCCCCCAGGATTTAAATTATTTAAATTATTTAAATTATTTAATTCCCGGCCCCGGCAGATTCCCCCGGATTTAAATTATTTAAATTATTTAATTCATGGCCCCGCCCCTCCCCGGACCCCCCTCCCCCAGGATTTAAATTATTTAAATTATTTAAATTATTTAAGTTATTTAATTCCTGGCCCCAATTAAATAATTTAAATACGGGGGAGGCCCCCGGATTTAAATTATTTAATTCCCGGGGTCCAGGCGCGCTGGAACACCACATGGGGTCTATTTGGCAGCTGGCGCGTGGAGTCCTGCCAATACACACACATCCAGCTGCCAAATAGACCCGGTTTAAGCCACACTCGGGGGGGGGGTGGCTAGTAGTAGTAGTAGTAGTAGTAGTAGTAGTAGTAGTAGTAGTAGTAGTAGTAGTAGTAGTAGTAGTAGTAGTAGCAGTATAGTAGTAGTAGTAGTAGTAGTAGTAGTAGTAGTAGTAGTAGTAGTAGTAGTAGTAGTAGTAGTAGTAGTAGTAGTAGTAGTAGTAGTAGTAGTAGTAGTAGTAGTAGTAGTAGTAGTAGTAGTAGTAGTACTAGTAGTCGTCGTAGTAGTAGTTGTAGCAGGTAGTAGTAGTAGTAGTAGTAGTAGTAGTAGTAGTCGTAGTAGTAGTAGTAGTAGTAGTAGTAGTAGTAGTAGTAGTAGTAGTAGTAGTAGTAGTAGTAGTAGTAATGATAATAATCACACCTCGCCGATGCCATAACAGTCACAGACTATGGAACTCGCTCGCTCTGGGAGGTCGAGGATTGGAAGTTTCGGTCACTGCGGTGCCTTTCAACCTAAAGCCCTGCGCTAAACTCGGAACCCTAATCTCTAAACTGAAATCTTTGTTTGGCCTCCGAAGTTACCAGCAGCTTTGCACACCTGCGCGCAATCCTGCGGCGGTCAGAAAAGTCAAGGGCCTAGGATATAGGTTTCAGTGTCTCCGTGGTTTTGGGTCTTGGGGCTCCATTATAGCCTATCGGTGCAATGTAACCTTTGAGAAAGGAGCCGCTGGTATGAGTAAAGTCAAGACGAAAGCGAAGCCCTTAACCCCAAAACCCTACAGAAGATCCCCAGAACCCTAAACCCTAAACCCAAAACCCTAAGCCCTTCAGAAGCATCCCCATCCCAAGGCTATGAGCCCAACTCGTGCACTTATCGACCCCGGCTGTCAAGTTCTTTCTCTAGAACTTCGGACACAGTTTAGGCCTAGGCTTTAGCGCTGAGGGGTTTTTGTCTTTTTAAAGCACCTTTAAAGGGCTTAGTTAGAGCTATAGGCTTCAGGGTTTGGGACGATTAGATGGAAAAATGCAACTTTGGACCATGCCAAGACATGGAACCCTATGGAATGTACGGACTTTGTTTATTGATTTTCTAAGGTTATGGGATCACGCATATATGTCAAGAAACCTCAAGGAATAATACCGGTCAGAATTTAAGCCGCTGTACCGTAAGCCCTAAACCCTAAACCCCAAAAGCCCTAAACCCGATACCTTAAACCCAAAAACCCCAAAGCCCCAAACCCTAAAGGCCCCAACCCCCCACAAACCGTAAACCCTAACCCTGCTAAACCCTAAAGGCCCTAAGCCATATACCCTTACAGTACCCTTATATAGATCCCTGTAAAGGAAACCTTATGGACCCCCATACCCTAAACCCGAAGCTACACCATATTCTCCCGCTCTCTCTGTCAGCCCAAGGATCGACACTGATATAGTAGCAGAGGCCATTCGCGGCATTGAGGCGCCCTGCGTGCTCCCACCTTGAAGCTGCGGGTCGAGCGTTTACGGCTTAGGCTCGGGATTCAGCATTCGGTGTTGATGAGTTTATGGTTACTAGGTTGGCCCCTTAAAGCCTCTGAAAAATATTCGTAAATAGGGTCCTACTAAACCCAATAAGGGAAAATATAAAATGTCCCAAAGGCCTACCTAGGTTAAGTGAGGCAAGGAGTCGGGGGTCTGGCTGCAACTTGCATTTTTTCTTCTACAGCGATCCTAGAAAATGGAAGATGGGCATAGGATGACTACTGCTAGGATCCCTCATATTATACCTTGTGGGCATGAGAACTGTAATGCTCCAACTTTAGGGCGTCGACTGTATGGCTCAACAGAAAACTGCCCAGACTTCCGGAATAGTGCAAGAGGCCCCTGCTACTCTAGTGGTTTAGGGTTTAGGGTTTAGGGTTTAGGGTTTAGGGCAAGAGTGGAACCGAATGGGTCTCGCAAGATTCCCGGATCAGAGCAGAAGCATCCGGAGGATTCCAGAAATGTATCAGTTGAGTTACAGGACTCTCGGTACGAAGACAGTCAAAAAAGCGTTCTCTTTGCGGGCGGGTGTGCAGACCATTGTGCATGTGCTTGGCTAAAGCATTCGTCGCTCTCTCTCTCTCTCTCTCTCTCTCTCTCTCTCTCTCTCTCTCTCCGTCTTTTTGTCTGTCTCTCTCGTTCTCTCTCTCTGTATCTTTTGCTTGCTTGCTGGGTTGCTTGCTTGCTTGCTCGCTCGCTGCCACTTCCCCCCTCCCTGCGCGCTGTGCTACACCTGTGTCCGAGTCTGGATAAAGGTGACACTTGGAGCCTGCCTCTATCTCTCTCTCTCTCGCTGGCTCTTTGACACGCTCTTTTGTTTCTTCCCCTCTCTCTCATTGAATCTTAGTCATACGTTTAAACCCACATCTACTTCTCGTTTTCGGCACACGCCTACAAACTAATTCACACTCGCGAGCAAGCGAAAAAAGGAGACAAGCAGCGGGTCTCTGCGTGCAGCAAGCAGAAGCCAAGTACCAACCCTTCTACGGATATTTGTAAGCAAATCGTAATAAGGAGCCCCAAAAGGCGATTATTTGGGGTTAAGGATTTATATAAGGAAATCACACTAAGGAGCCCCATAAGGAGGTGTATTTGGGGGCGAAGTTCCCCACACCATTCCAATTCTGACCGGGTAGCTCGGCCCAAATGGCTGGCAAACAGAGAATGTTATTGCCGCCATCCTGGGTGTACAGGGAACGGTTGTGATCTAGGGATTAGGGTGTAGGGTTTAGGATTTAGGGCTTAGGGTTCAGGGTGTAGGTTTTAGGGTTTAGGGTTTAGGGTGTAGGGTTTAGGGTTTAGGGTCTCGGGCGCAACTCCCGGGCGCTTAGTAGGGAATGGGGGAATGGATCCCTAAAGAAGTCCCTATATAATCCCCAGTAATAGTCCCCATAGTCCATTCCCCCATTCCTGCTAAGCACCAGGGAGACAAGAAACGGTCCTGATCTAGGAACGTAGATCTAGGGCTGTCTCAACCGCCTTTCAGCGTTACAAAGAGACCCGTTTGTGTAGATTTAATTGCTCCAACTCTTGCGAGCATCGATCCTCTAACGGTGTGTTCGGATCAGCGCTCTTCCGCATGCTCAGTGTCCTACGATCGAGCTGCTCATGTCAACCTCATGGTAAGGAGGTCAGTGCTGAGATCCGGGCTGGAGTTAGGATCTATGCCCGGATGCTTACCCGGAACCGTAAACGCTGAATCTCAGACCCGGAACCCGATTTCTTGTTATTTGGGGCCCACCGCTGTGCAGATCTGAAGCCGCAGCAGCCAGAGCACGAGTTTAAGGCAGCGCAATGCGTACAAAGAAATCACAAGTGCTCCACCCGATGTCCTGAAAAGGTTGCGACAACACAAGGAGGGGGGGGCAACCGTCTCTAGAGCCTTGGTAAACTGACACAGCATCTGTTATACCGGCTTGCAGCTGCGACGACGAAGCCCTGAACCCTGGACCCCAGATCCTCAACTCTATCAAGCCTAAATCCCAAGCCCTAAACTCTATAAGCCCTCCGAAACCCTGAACCCTAAACTCAGTACACCCTAAACTCCAAACCCCAAGCCTTAAACGTAACTTCAAACCCCAAGCCCTAAACTCCATGTCTATAAGCCCTAAACCCCAAACCCCTAAGATCTACAAGCCCTGAATTATGGCCAACACGGGTCCCGACAGACCTTTGATTGCAGCAGCCCAATTCGAAAGGCTAGATCCCAAATGGTATGGCAACTTAACTCCGTAGTCCCCGAGCACATCATTCAGCGAGACTTGGTCCTTTCGAAGCCCCTAGTCAATTCTAAACCTGTTTAGGCTTTAGGGGTTTTAATTTGAAATAAGTTGTCAGCAAAGTCGCTGCTTCGCAGTGGGTGGGTGCCAGACGATGCACGCTATACCTCGCGCACCAGCGCTGCAATTGCGGGTGATTACACAAGTTCAATTTGGGATCCTGAAACCCGGAAGCCCTGAAGCCTAAACCTTAGAAGGGGCCCCCACCCTGTAATCGTGGTATAATAGGAATATAGTAGGGCCCTAGTATAATCCTCATAGTCACTATTACAGGGTGGGGGCAGCTTCTAGCCTAAACCCCTAAAGCCTTAAACTCGCAACCAGAGAACCCAAAACTGTCGACCCAAAGCCACGAAGCTCTTCCTTTCAGAGATGGCTTCTCTGCAGCCTATCCTTCCCAAGTCTTCGATCAGCTCAAACGAGAATCGCATGATGCCGTCTAGCTGAATCCCTCAACCCTAAGCCCCTAGATTGCTTACTAACCCTGAAACCCTAAAACACAAAAAAAACTAACCGTAAACCTGAAATCCTGACCTTACTAACTACTACTTGAAACCTTAGACCCCAATCCCTCATCACTAAAGCCTTAACCTTAAGCCCTGAATTCAACCCACGAGAATTCGGTGAAGCGGCTCCAAGCTGCCCGACTGGAGGATGTACGCGTGGTTGCACTTCGTGTTGGGCAGGAATACCTCTGTCCCAAGGGCTTCGAAGTACTCACAAAAGTAGAAACTATAGGGTTGCTTCTCGTTACTATTATGGTTCGGGTGACTATTCCCCATATAGGCGTTGGGTGTGACGAAACCCTACATAAACGTTTCGGGTAGGGTTCCAGCTGGGATCTGATAATTCTCGGGTTCCGGGTAAAGTCTGAACTTTCTCTAAGCACTGAAACTAAACCCCTGAGCACCGACAAGTAAACCCTCAGACCGTAGCAAAAGAAAAGCAAAGACTAAAGTCCACAGACTAAGCCCCCAGCCCCCTAATCACTGATGCGCAACCCTTGAAGGAACCCTAGCGCCTCTGGAGTAAGCCATCCTGAATCCTAAACTCGAACCCTACATGCTAAGCCTGGGATAGGCGCTGGGATAGGCGCAGCTTGCGTCAGTATGAAGTATGAAGAGAAGGAGACGAACAGCAAAGGCAATGATGCCAACCATCGTAAGCATAATCTTAAGCATCATCACATCCATGACTAGACTATCATCATCATCATCATCATCATCATCATCCTGCTAGGAATCGGAAAAGTAGGAGATGAGCCAAACTGCATCCTGGCCAAGCTTGCAGACGTTCTCCCGCATGCTGTGGTGGCAGACGCCTTTGAGAGTTTAGGATTTGGGGTTTAGGGTTACCTTGATCCTAAACCTTAAGCAGTTTTTCGGGAGTTCCTTGAAGGATTCCTGATGGGGCCCGGTTGGGATTTGGGATAGCAGGTACCCTAAACCCTAAACCGCTTTTCGGGAGCTCCTTGACGGGCTTGACAGGGCTCCACACCTGTTCTCTAAAAAGAGGCTCAACATGGGAGTTTCCGAAAATTGGGACCCTAATGGAGCACCCGACATAGTAGGATCCTTACTATAAGGATCCCAAAATAAGGTACTCCAAACTTTCGGAAACTCCCACATGAATCCAGGAGAGGCTTCGTCAAGGGTCCCACGCCTTAGCCGCCCTTAGAACCAAAATAAACATAATGTTCTTATTAACCCGCTTAAGTTGTAGAATAACATAGTTCCTAGGAGCAGTGAAGCAGTAAAGCCCTCAGGGTTCTGTAGGCTTAGGGGTGGGCTTAGATTCTAAGTCTAGGGAAGTTTGGGCTGTACGTTACGGGCAGGGAATCATGCGTTTGGAGCTTTCTGGCCGTATCTTGACGGCTTTTGCCTCGCAGTTTTCCCTGTTGCCAGAGCCCTGAAAGTCAAGGGCTTCAGGTTCACAACTTGCAGGGTTTGGAGTTTGTGTAGAGTTTAGAGGTTGAGGTTTGAGGGATCCTGTATGGAAGCCTCCTCCCTTTATCTTAGGAGCCTCAAAGCGGCATGCCACCATGAAACCTCCCGTGCTTCCCACAGAACAACTGTGGTGCTTGTATTCTGAAATTCCAGTCTGAAAGTCTGCGACCAAGGCGCTAATGAAGAAGCTTTTGTCCTGAATCTTGACCAAACGTCAAGGATCTGCAGCGCAAGGTTTAAGGTCCTAACCCTAAACTCTAAAGCGCGACTACAGGTTTTGTGGCTAAAACTCGAAACCCAAACCACCCAAACCTAAACACCCTGAACCCCCAAAAAACCCAAAGCTAAACCCCTAAGCCCTAAAAGCCCCGATCCCTGAACCCTAAACGACAAACCCAAAGTCATATGAAGAACCCTGAGGACCCTAAGGAGCAATATTGGTAACTCTCCTTAAACCTGAAACCGTAACTCTTTCACCCCTTGATTAAGGAATATAGCTTAAATCATAAGATGAAGCCCCTAATTAATGATTTAAGGTATATTCCTTAGTTACGGGGTATTGGGCCTTCTGGGAAACCGTAACTCTTTCGGGTATCCTCAACTTTAAGTCCCGTTCCGAAAGCCCCGTCAATCCGCGGATTCAGAAGTCTGGGACCCAAGCGGTTTAGGGGTTGAGGATTTAGGGTTTGAGGGTTTGTGGATTTCTGGTTAGTGGGTTTCTTGCCTTTGGTTAGTAGGGAATGGAAGAATGGTAGTACTAGTAGTTATACTTGTACGCCATTCCCCAATTCCCTACTAACCAAAACTAGGGTTTGGCGTCTGGGGTTTAGGGTTTGTGGGTTTCGGCAGGCGGTGCGGCAGTCGGAAGCTGCCGAAACCTGAAAGTACGCTTAGGGTTTAGGGTTTAGGCTTTGGGGTTTATAGGGTTTCTGGTCCTGTTTTGCATGATGCCGTCCAAAACCTAGACCGTGGAGCCTGTAATCCCTGAACCCTACGCATTACGTAAACCCTAAACCCTAAGTCTTACGCAGAACGACTTAGAAGTCAGTCCTCCCGATGCTTCCAAGACGGCCAGATATGGAATTCCATCAGCGAGCTCATGAACATTTCCGTGTGGAGCTGAATCTTGAATCCTTGCTGCTGGAGAATGAGATGCTTGACCCAGTATTACAGCAGTTCAACTTGAAGCTCCTACATGAGGGTTCAGGGTTTAGGGTGACAGTAAGTTTCAATTGCAATGGTATTGCCGTGGTTCCTTGCTTGGATGTTAGCTTACTGGCTCATTGGTAGGTTGGTTGTGCTGCTTTTGCGGCGTGTTGCTTGCCCGGACAATAGATCTTTGTCACTGTGCAACTGTCGACATCCACATTTCTGTCTGCAGGTGGAGCTGGATCAGAAGTCTCATCTGTACCTGCACATGACTATATCGCATGCATGTGGACGAAGCTTGTCCACCTCCTATCCGTCTATCTATGCGTGAACTAGAAGCCCAATGTAACTTGTCACCATAACATCCCGAATGAACAAACTACAGCCCCCTGTCTGAAACTTTGAGATACGAGCATCTTTCTGGAATGCTCCGCATCAGCGTAACGTCATCCTGATTGCAGGCTCCTATGGGGAGTTGAAGATCTATAGTAAGCCCCAAAAAGTTGGAAACCGGATTAAGGACAATCACCGCTGGGATCCCCTGCATATTACTCTTGAGGGTTGAGGCTATTGGGTTTTTTGACTCTATTCGTCTGTGGGCACCTGCAAAGTCTCAAGAACCCTCCTTGCGAAAGGGGGTAGCTCCACATAATGGTTCTTCGCAATCTCATCATACCTGCACACCTCTAACTAGGTTGAAGAATGCAAGGAACATTGGGTTCAGGGTGCAGCGGTTTTCGGGGATCTGGAATTCGGTTTTCACAGTTTAAGCTGTACTAGGGAAGCCGAAATAAGCTTTTCCATAACATACCCCAAAACGCCACCCTATGTACCAAACCCCGGCGTTATGAGGTCTTACATTGTGCGAGTCTGCGATTTCGTCCAAATGCTGGGCGATGTCGGGCTTGCGATTGCAAAAAGGGGGTACAACACGCCACAGCCTCAAATCGTGCGGTTCTCTTGGCTGGCCGAAATCTCGAGGATGTGAACACGCATAAAGGAACTCCAGAGCCGAGGGCGTGATCACTGCAGTCGTGCGGCGGATGGGGCCGTGATACTTGGAATAAGAACATTCTGATTTTGTTGGCAGGAAGGCATATCATAGTATCGATAAAGGGAGTTGAACACGAAGTAAACCCGTCGTGTTACAAGACAAGCAAAAGCAAGCACTCAAAGCACTTCTTTTACTTGAGCCAAATCACGTTCGTGTGCGTCTTTCAAGCTGCTCTTCATCCACCTCTTGTAGTACGTTCTTAGCTACATCATGCAAGGGCCTGGGGCTCGAGTATGATTAACTCCCCCCTTGAAGACAGCGTGAAACGCTACACTGAACTTAGTTACGCAGACTACCTACTTGGTGGAATAGCCACTCCGATTAGAAGTGGAATCCAAGCTCTCGCAGCTTCAGCTGGCTGTCGACGGGCAGCCTGCTCACGTTTCTAGGTGTGAAGGCAATTATGACGATTCTGTCACCCTTCGTGCAAGGGGTCGTCGCATGTAACCGTCTTGGATCGAAGATCGCTGGCCATTTAAGGATCTCGCCCTTCTCACCTCGACTGAGGTCTGGGCATGGGTAGCCACCGTCTTGTGACTGCACCCACACGTGGCCCCCCTCGAACACTTCAAGTGGGATTACAGCGTTCTTGCTGCATGGCTCGTTGTAAGAATCCTTATGAGTCAAAGTAATTTGATTCTTGGCCAACATCACTGCCGTAAACTTATGCTTAGGCAACACCCTACGGATGAACCTGCACAAAACCGCAGTGACTACTGGGAAGAGGGTTACATTTTGCCTTAAACCTGCGATCCCACCTCCGTGCGCGAACGCACCGGTGGTGAAGCACATTGCCTCACTTGCAGAGGGGCGCACGGCGCTCTCCCCTGGCAAGTACGACAAAAGCTGCACAAGGTCTTCTTGTGTGATCTTTCTAGGCAGTGAGCTTGCAAAACGCTCTGCTTCCTCAGCTACGACCTTTGAGACGGTCGCACTGTGAGGGACACCTTCGTGAAGGCACAACTGTGTGAGCATATCAGACCACTCAGCAGGAGGGATGATCTTAGTCAAACCATTAGCTAATTGCTCCTTGCTGTTCACGTAAGTAGCCGAAAACTCTTCTTGCTCAAAGATCTCTGCCATACTTGCCACGTTCACGCGGTGCACGCGCCCTAAGTGGCGAAGCTTAGGACTGTATCCTGACTTCAGGATGGCCAAGACAGTTTCATTGTCTTGGAAGAAGATGATCGGCACTGTGCTTTTGAAGGCTGACTGTAAGAACGTCTGCAAATTTATGACCTCTGAAAACATGGCTGATGCCATTGAGATCATTTCGGCCTCTGGCGTCGACCTCGCAACAGACGTTTGCTTGCGACTTTGCCACATCACAGGGAATGCATGCTGACCTGTGCCTATGTGGACTACAATCCCGGACGTGCTACGTGAAGTGTAGGGACAGGCTGCGAAGTCAGCGTCTGTATACACCCGTAGCTCGGGAGCAGCATCCCAAGAGCAACTGGCATTCATGCAAACATCTCTAGTGTGATGAATGTACGACACAAGTCTGAGCACTTGTCTGTCCTCCCAGGCGGTCCAACGAGTGATCCTGGAAGCTAAGCGAGTTACAGCAAATGCGATGTCAGCTCTACAGAGACGAGCTAACCACAAACAGCGCATCAAGATGCGTGATGCTGAATCGTGGAGCTCGCCTTGCGCTGAGATATCCTCGTCGGTCATTGACGATTCAGCGATGCAGGGCGTGTTCACTCGACGAAGCTTGTCGGGCGTTGTCCCGGTGATCTCGCAATAGGTTTGGACAATCTGCTCAGCATACTCAGGCATCCTAAAAGCCATTGTGGTCGACGATGGTTCATCGTACCGACAATGCAGTCTACCTAAGATCCGAACACCCTCAGAACCTATGAAACACTCGGGATCAAGTTTGACCTTCGCCCTCACGCTTGCCAAAATGGCGTGTGCAATTTTGTTAATCCGCACAAACTCAAGTCATCGACGTAAATGTTTAAGATGAGAACCCCATCCTTGTACTCAAAGAACCAGTTGCTTGGAAACTCCTGGGACTCCTTTCCGCCTAATGAGATCAAAATCCTAGACAAATACTCTTGCCAGAGCCGTCCGGCCTGTGGATGGCCGTACAAGCTCTTGCGAAGTCGAACGACTATTCGCGCTTGCGCTCCAAAACGCTCCTCCCAACCAGGGAGCCACAACTCCCTTGGCAGGATTACGTATGTCTCTTCTTTAAGCTCAGATTGGAGGTATGCTTGGATTGCGTCAGAGCATGACACAGAGTGCTCCGGTAAGCAACCCCAGAAGAGGGAGGCGTTCAAGGCTATTAACCCCGTTGGAGTCGTACTGGTCTCTTCGAAGAAAACCAGATTGTTAAACTCATCCAAAACCCTATCCCCTCTATAAACAATTCTCCCTTTGAACTTTTGAAATTCAGGTGCAAGTTCGGCATGCTTTACCCCGCACAAGGTCATCAGTTCTGCGACGCGAAGCTTGCGTCCCTGAGACCTGGCCTGACTTCTCAGCTCATGCAGTGGCATGGCTGTTGTGTCATCCCATGTGCCATTTCGGCGCAATCCCTCTGCTTCTTGAGCGATGGCCTCGAGCGCCTTCGGCTCAGCTTGCCATTCTCGGCGGGAGAGATTCTTGGTAATAAGCGCGCTCGCTTTACCAAGATTGGGGACACTTTTGAAGTACCGCTGGGGAAACAAGGATTGTATCACGAGATCTGCAAACTCATATGCCTTGATGCTGGTTGCATTAATCTCTGACGACTCCTTTGTTGACACCTTTGCGAAGTGCTCCAGTACTCGCCTAGAGTTTGAAGCGATGGTGATGGCCTTGTTGCCACTAACACAGGCTACATTGGAAAGCTCGTGTTTCGATGCGAAGTCGATCCACTCAGGCTGCCTAAACACCCCTGAATCCGAACTCCACTGGAACGAAACTCGACCCCCCTGCTCAATGACATGATCGGCAACATTAAGGGCCAAAACCAACATTCGCTTAGATGTGGCTTGCCTTTGTGCAATCTTGCGCGCGTACTTAGGGCTTTGGGATTCACGATGTACGGCTTGATGCGAAGACATATGCGTGCAAGGTATGGTGAACCAAGCATCTACACCTGGGATTGCTTGGGAAACGACTTGTTGCATGTCATCCTGCGAAGTCAAATCCAGCGTTGACTGGGAAAGACTAACACAATGAACCTTACAACGCTCACACGCGTTACTTATCTCAGACTCGTCTTCACAACCATACTCGATCAGAACATTTTCCCCTGGAAGTTCCTTAACCCTTCTGGTGTTGTTGCGCGCTCTCTCGTTTGCGAGAAACCTTGCACTCAAACCAAGCTCACCTGTTGAAACCTTGTTTTCAGAAGACTGAACCACAACACCAGCTGGAGCTCGTGGGCCAGCAGAGGAGCTCGCGCGCTCTGGGGCATCCTCATCACCCTCGGGGGCTGCGGGTGCAGACTCCGCCGAAGGATCAGGGCGCTCGACATCGGGCGGTGCCGCGTCTCTGACTGACTTGCTCGCAGCAATCTTCTCGGCTTTAATCAAACCATCGAATCTTGCCTTACATACTGGTGTGTGTACTGTTCCATCGAACTTGCAGGCCTTACAACCAGGTGTTGCGCCTAGTCGCATGAGCCTATCTAAAGTGATGTACTCGTGGCGCTTTGCCACAGGTGTTGATGGTGCCACCGTGCTGAACGGCACATCAAGGAATTCGATGGCTTCATACTCGGCTTTCGTGAAACTAGACAAAGCAGCTTCTGCAGCGGTGAACATCGGAAGGATGGGATTACCGCGGGGAACATGTATCTCCTCTCTAGGGACGGAGATCGCCTTTTCGTACCCCGGTTCACGGTTCTTTAGCTTACCATAGTCCAACACGTGATAGACTTCTCTGAAAGATGATGGACCACTATCGAACCGCCAACCTGCAAACACCCCTGGCGCTGCTGATGCCTGAAACTTCTCACGATATGCCGGGTCAAGTCTGTAGTAGACCAGCTGACCAAGTTGTAATTTCATGCCACCAAACTCGGATCCAACCGCGTTTACATACCGGCTACCCTCAATCCCAACCGCAGGGTGGAAGAGATTAATGGTGTGTGCCGCATAGCGGACAGTATGGACCCAAAGACCCGAATGCAACTGAAAACCTGCCGCAATGTGAAGAGCCCTCGAACACTCCTCAATTGTCCGGATTTCCCGTTCAAGGACTGAATTGTGAGGCCATCTCCGCTCAAGGCTTGGCTCTGAAGTAAACCCCAACGTCGCACATGCTGCGAGGAGCTCCCGTGCATTGTCGCTTTTAAACAATACACAAGGTCCAGAAGCGCGCCTACCGAGGAAGGATAATAAGGATCGTACCACCCCGTCTTCGTGCCTAGACACTAACGGGAATGTTCTTATGTACCCTGTGGCTTCATCTCTCACAGTCAGAACGACGGTTTCAGTGCTTCTAGAGTCTTTGTGCACTATGATGAAGTCAGCCGCTATCCGTTGGCCGAACTCGTCAACCGGATCTAACTCATCATCACACCTTGCATAGCGCGTCCTTGCCGTTCGCTTCTTTAGCATTCGGCTCCGACTGCAAACATCACAGTATGGGTTCTTTGGCATATGCGTTAAGCGATGTTCTAGACTCTGGGCTTCAGTGATTAGCCGCTGAGCCTTGGTTGGTGCATCCTCATCACCCTCATCGTCGGCACCGGAACCTTCCCCTGGATCAGCTGGAGGGGGTGCTACGGGAGGTGGTAGAGGAGGGTCCTCTGCTGGGACAGCGGGTGCAGGAACCTCTGCTGGGGCTGCCGGGGCAGGCTCACCAGCGGCTAAGGCTCGATGCAAACCGTCACCACCAAACCTTATCTGCTCACGAAATACCGGAACATAATCATCGACCTTATGGGCATAGATGACACGATCCGAATCCCAAGTGATCTGAACGCAATCTTCGCTTGTACCGAAGAACGGCATGCTACCGGGAAGCCAAACAAAAGGTTTTCGCTGCAACTCTACTAGTTGGCCTAAAGACCGCACTACCGGGCAGCTTTGTAGAACATAGGATTCTACTGATCCAAAGGCATCGCTCGTTGTAGTAAGGAAGGTGCCACTGCTCGTCACACCATTCCCGGTTTCAAACTGCAACGGCTTGGTTGACCGGATGTGATCGCTGAACATATCAGTCAAAATGCCCTGATCTGCAAGCGCGGATTGGCTTAGCAGGCTTCTCCCTGCCCCAGAATCAGCAACCCAATCAAGGAAGTACGACCCCCCTGAACAGTTAGGTCTACTGACTGTCGCGGCAATGCGATCATGCGAATGATGCACGGTTGCGGGCAATGCAAATGAAAGTGCTGCCGCAAAGCGGGCAAACACACGAAAGGGAGCGGTGATCAAGCGACATGTGGCTTTGAAACCGCGGACAAATGATGAAGGGATGTTGCATGCGCTCGCGCCCGTCGACGCGGCTGCTAACATGGCGACTCCGGCAGGCACCTTTGGGGCGGCCTTTGATGGAGCAGCTTTCTTTGGTGCATCTACATGCTCGAAAGGGCAATCCTTTCCCCTAGTGCATGTTTCTTTCGGATAGAAGAAGCACGCTGGCCTTTGGCCGGATTGTCCTGCTGACGAATCCTTTGCAGCTGGAGGTTTCTGAGGTTTAGCCTTGCTATCCTTACCCCCGCCCTTCCCTTTACCTTTGCCTTTGCCCTTATCAGCACCCTCACCGGCACCAAGATTGGCGTCGGGGACTCCTGGAGTTGCTTTGCTCGGGGCCTTCGGGGGCTTATCATTGCCTTGGCCTTTGGCCTTAGACTTTGCATTTGCCTTTGCAGCAGGAGCGGCGGGCGTAGCCTTAGCCGCAGCCGCTTTCGCGTTGGCATCTGGTTTCTGCTTTTGTTTGGAATCCTCTTTGAGCGAATCCTTTAGCGCTTGCTCATTTCGATCCTCGCGCACTTCTGCAAGAACCTCTTCTAGCCCATTCCAAATGTACTCAAATGTCCTACGCTTGGAACCCGGCTTGGCATCTTTGACCCGATCAATGGTGCGTGACAGCATCCTGCACCCCTTTAGCCGTGAGTAGATCCATGAAAACATTGTTTCGGCGTCTGGCCATTGCCGCTCCGGTAAGCCATTCAACACGTACTCGACGCGTTGTTTGAAGGCTACAAGCGATTGGTAGGAGAATGAGTCAGGTTCTAAATCGAACAAGGATCGTAGTGTCACCAATGGCCCGCGCACTTTATCTATCCGGTATCTTCTGCTAAGAATGGACAGGAGGGCACGACCCGATGGCATCGTTCCAGACGCATGACACCTTTCCAAGTACGACTGCGCTTGCAATCCCCATTCACCTTTTAGGTGTTTCGCATCACTGATGCACGCGGAAATCCACCCATCAAGTCTAGGCAAACCCTCACAATCCCGCTGAAGCGACCGTGTCAATGCAATGCTACCTGATGGATCTAAGCTCTTTTGAAGCCACTTCAACAGGACGGCTTTGCCGCTGCAATCTATTGACGCGATCTGTGTTAACACCGAATTGCGGTAAGCCCTGAACTCAACGCTGGAACCCGGAATTTGGGGAAGCTTGATGTCTTTCAGGTCTTTGTACTTGTAAATGCTAGACTCGTAATCTCTGTCATCCTCGGGCTCGTGAGCCGCAACCGGGACGATTGGATCATCCTCGAAATCTTCTCCGCCCTCATCATCCTCATCTTCACCATGCTCATCAAAGTCATCTTCATCTGCTATGTCGAAGACTTGAGGCTTGAGCTTCTGCGGTGCAGAGTGTGGTGGAGGAGGAGGATGTGCGGGTGTTGCGGAATGCAATCTACCCGTGAAGATGTTCTTACGACTGCATTGATACGGTGGTACCCCAAACTCAACCGGACTAGGAGCAACGAAACCGCTAGAACCGGAAGCCTTAGCTGGGATCGGCAGCGCAACTGATGGTGCAATGGCCCTAACCGTAGCCTCGGCTTTAGCTTTCTGCTTCTTTGCTTTGGCTTTGGGACTAAGGGCTACCTCAATTGCTTGTTCAATCCTTCGCATTGTTCCCCCAACTTCACCCGCGAGTGCCTGCAATGCGTTGAATGCAGACGCAGCCTGATCCGCGCCATTTTGGGTAGAGCTCGCGGGGATAGCCGATGAAGGGATGCTTGGGTTCTTTGGTTCGGCAGCTTGCACATGCGACTGAAGCGCGATTAGCTGCTGATGCATAGCCTTAGATAACTCTTGCTGCTCAAGGATCATCTTAGCTTGCTTTTCGAGCCTCTGGTTGAGCTCACGGTTCATCTCCCCCAACTGTTGATTCTCAGTTCGGAGGTTTCCAATCACCGTTTCAGCTTCACCCTGAATTACCGAAGCGCGTGAACCCAACTGCTGGTTTTCGGACCTTAGCGCCTGTATGGCGGCATACGACTCACCCTGAATCGCAGCGGCCTGGGCACCTAGCTGTTGGTTCTCTGATCTTAGAGACTGAATCACTGCTTCGGCTTCGCCAAACACGGCTGCTGTCTCAGCTCTGGCGTTCATGATGGCTGATGTTGCTTCGGATTGCATGTTCGCATGGGTTACCGGGTCAACCCCAACCTGAAGGACCTGCTGCCGATGGGCATGTTGATGCAAGTGCAACTCCTGATGGCTCGTGTTCGGGCCGGTTGGGTTCTGACTACGGGCAGGGCCAACATTCGCTGCAAAGGTTGGTGCCGGTTGCAGGGATGAAGACCTCGATGCGGGTCCATACGACAATGATCTAGCCCGGTTCCTCCGAATCGGTCCCGAACTTGATGAATCCGACTGTCTAGCTGCCTCCGGGCGCACGCTAAGTGCTTGGGCCCTAGGGGGTGTGCTCGACGATGAAATTTCCAGTGAGGATTCCTCGAATCCCAGTTGTGATGCTAGAGGCATTATGGGAACAGCGGTTCAACCGAGGTCTAAGGGTTGTAAAAATACTTCACCCCAACCTTCAAAGTTGACCCTCAACACTAGAACCCACGGAATTTGCAGTCTGCCCCAGTCCCGTTTTAGATGTGAAGGTCGTACCACAGCACGTGGTCGAGGCTGCGCCTGTCCGACGGCTCCCAACAATAACCGGTACAGCCCGGGTAACGCGAAATATCGCGACAGATGGGATCCTGGTCGTCCACGTGATGAATCGCAACCCCACCACTCCGTGCCAAAGCGGACAGCCGATCGCCCTTACCGTTGTTGCCAACCTTCGCAGATGTAATCAATAAAGAAATCACCCGCTCCGGAGCGCCAACGAAAGAAGATGGGTCCAGCCCCTCGACAACGCGACGCACGCTGTCCCTCACTTTGGCCTTGGTGGAAGATGTTACAGCGAAAGAGCAGACCACCAAGCTGATGTCGGAATACGTGCTTAAGATGCGTTGCACAGCTGTGGCACTCGCGGCGTAGTCGCGATCTAACACCAAGTGACAGTCAAGCGATACCACACGTGTGGCCCGTTCAAGCTGTATCCAGTTCGCGATTTGTCTGATTGATAAAGACTCGCTGAAACGAACACTACGCCTGACCAATGGCCGTGGGACCTCCTCTACCGCCTCCTCGACGGGATCAAGAACCTCCGCTACCGCCTCCTCGACGGGATCAAGAACCTCCGCTACCGCCTCCTCGACGGGATCAAGAACCTCCGCGGCAGCCTCCTCAAATCGGGCCCGCTTAGGCTGTCGAAGAAGAGGGTTAGCAGATGTAACCGTCACTCGAGTCCCGATAGGGACAAACGGAGCTAGTGCAGGCGCCGAAGTTGGTGAAATGCCTCTGGGTTTAGGGGGCGTGGGAGGTCGTAACCTACCGCCCGGAAGAGTCCCTCTACCGGAAGTTACACCCCTTACCGAATCCGAATCACCACCCAAGGCACGGCGTGCTGGAGGTGGAAACGGCGGCTCGCGAGGCGTAACCAAAGGCCCACTAGGAGCAGCAGAAGATACACCAGGAGACTCAAGACCAGAAGGCGGAGGGGTCTCAGGGACAAGATCAGCAGGAGGAGGGGTCTCGGGGGCAGTAGGTGCCGGCGCAAAAGACCGCGGAAACAGTGTCGGACCAGAAGACGGAAGGAAAGTGGGCAAAGGATCAAACCGATCAGGGGTATTACCCTGCTCTAGCCAATTAATATAGGCGTTGGCCGTCTCCAAGTTCTGGCGGTCTGCCTGCCGCGAGTCCACGCAGCTCAGAAGCAAAGCCACCCACAATCTTCAAGTGCAAACTCCTCCGGGCCCTCCCAGATGAGCCGGATCCTCCGCGTTTCTCAGCTGCCAACAGGAGCGCAGCGTTGAGAGCGAATCTCTCCTCTGGCGTAGTAGCCCCGCGGCCACTCATACAGCAGAGAAGAAAACAATCGGGATGCCTTCAGATAACGAACACAGGTAGATTGAAGTTCGCTATTCCTCTGAAGGCTCTGCTTAGACAATCCTCTAGATTATCCAATGTCCCAATGTCAATCCCTGAAGGCTCAGCTGGGTAACCCTCTCGATCACCCGATATTCAATGTCAACCCAGGAAGAACGACACAGAACCCCCTGGCTGGCACACTGAGAGCCGATGCGATTTGTTGTTTCTTTTGGATCGTTGTGCTGTGCTGCCGAGGCAGTCTCCAGCTGGGATGAGGGACTGAGGAAGCGGTTCGAAGGCCGAGCACGGGAAACACCCACGCTAACCCAAACCAGAAATCTCAATCAACCTCCAATCTCAGCTGAACTCTTACAGGAGGGTTGCTGGGATGCAATCTCACTCCTGACTCGTTGCGGTTCTGTTCTGAGCTCTACTGGATCGCCTGTCGCACCACAAGGCCTGGCCTCCTTTGTCCGTGAACGGGACTACGGGAGAGGTGCTAAGGCGGGGCTTTAGAGAACCCGAAGAAGGTTACCACGCGGATGCCTGAGCAAGCAGGCGAGGCACGCAGCAGATTTGGACCTCACAGATAATGTGTAAAACCAGGCTGCGATGCAGGCGCTGGTTGGGATCTCAACTGTAGGGTTCTGGCTCTAACCCCAGGAGAATGACAGTGCAGGATATGGAAAGTGGTATGGAGGATGGGCAGGTCTCTCACTAGACCTACGGCAAACCGATTTCACGCAACCTCGCTAGTTGCTTGCAGATATGGAATGCACAGACACTTGGCCTGCACGCGGGGCACTATGGCTCGCAGGGGTCCTAGACTCTCCCTAGACGACCACAGTGAATGATATGAAATGCTGAGGCTGTTAACCAGTTGAACACGAAGTAAACCCGTCGTGTTACAAGACAAGCAAAAGCAAGCACTCAAAGCACTTCTTTTACTTGAGCCAAATCACGTTCGTGTGCGTCTTTCAAGCTGCTCTTCATCTACCTCTTGTAGTACGTTCTTAGCTACATCATGCAAGGGCCTGGGGCTCGAGTATGATTAACTAAGGGCTCTTACCACAAGTTGTCCTGCCCTCCTTGTTAAGCATCTACGGACTGAGAATATCCTGCTTCCGGGTTTTGTTCGAGGAGACGGCATGGGGCATACTGTTTTCTACTGACGCTACTTCTGTGCATGGTTAAGGGCCTGCAGTTTACAACCAAACGCATCAGTCTTGGATTCTATTGCTACAACTCAGACGCTCAGACAGCCTTATTCACTCTGCCAGCAGGGGTGCTGTAGCTTGCCACCCAACCGTCGACCCGGAATCTTGCGACTTTCCATTATTGAGACCCCTGCCAAAATCCGACATCCGAAGACCCAGAAGCTGAAAATTGAAATTAAAGTGTACCAGTCAAGGCACTTCACGCAGCCGAATTTTGACCAAGCCATCGGCACGGATCCTTGATATCTCAAGCCCTATGGCTCAAGAGCTTGGGCTTTGCAGGTTTTGGGGGCTGGGGGCGTTAAGTTTGACCATGGTTAGGACCATGGTTGGAATTACTTATGCAAATGCGCATGGGTTTAAAGATTTGTGTTGCATCTTCGCTTGGTGTCGGATTTTCAATACATGTTAAAATGCCCATCGTGCATCGACTGACCCCCGAATCAAGCTTGAATACGAGACATGGAGCTGTGCTGTCACTTCACAACACAGATAGGCATACTTTCACAAAGAGACACACAAACACATAAACACACGGGCACACTAAAATGAACCACAACGAAGAAAAAACCCATGAGCAGCAAAATATGCGCACGTTATCGGATGTTATCCCTAAACATTGAAGCAGCCATGCTGTAGCAATGTGCCGTACTGCTGACAGTATGCGAAAACTGTGAGGTTTGGAATATGTCGCTTTATGCTCGCCGCGCCTTTGGCAGTCCTATCTGGGCTCACGCCTGATTCTGTCCTGTGGACGATGCAACTGCCAACCCCTTCTCCTTCCTACCATCATGACATGGTTTCACAATATGGAAACAGAGACATGAAGCTGAAGGATTGTGGGCGAGATACAACCAACTACGGTTAACTTTGGGATTGAACGCATGCTCCACATTGCTCGAGGACTCGAAATGTTGCCGTCAAGTGCTCTGTGCCCCCGAGCTGGAGCTTTAGAATAGTCGAACTATTTCGATTGTGCGGTCTTCGCTGATTCTGTCGAGCAGGACTTCAAGACAGGAAACTGACGTGTGCGCAACACCGGTTGGCACTTAAACTCGAAGCACAGCGATAGTTCTGTTTCGGGATGCCCAGACGCGTCGGGTATGACATGACAACATTCCACAATCTCAATCTGTGTCGCACGGTTTCCCATCTTTATGAAACCAAGCAAGCGGTTTGGTGCACTGCTTTAAACATGCTGTGAGGCGACACCCGCAAGTTCTGGCAGATGCGAAGGCCTTCTCTGGAAGAGACCTACCCTCTCCCAAACATTGTAGGTTCAGGCAGGCATCCGGCTTTCAGTTCAGGCCAACCGAATCAGAAGCAAGTCATGGACCCGAAAGTGTGAATGCGGAATGCTGGCTTCTTCCAGCAACAAGTAGCACCATATTGCGGAGTCTAGAAACCAAGTTTACCGGATCACCATGTTGTGCCCATGGTGGCTTTTTCGTGTCCGGTAGCTGTAAGACAATATCCCCAAAGGTGCTAGATTCCTACATTCGGGAGACTTATCCAGACCGTCTTGGTAATTCCTACTACAAAAAGACTCAGTCTCGACCATGTAGGTACTTCGGACCCTTTGATTATCAGAATATCGGCAGACAAACCTGTTTCAAGAAATGCAATTGGAAGTGCTGATGCTCAATCTCCCCGGGCTGAAGCGAAAGTTTTACGCAACTACTTGGAGGTTCATGGGCAGTTATAAGTGGGGTTATAAGTAGGGCAACTGCTCTTGTAACCCTTATCGGGGGACTTATGACCCCACTTATAGCTACCCATGAACTTCCAAGTATGCCTAGGCCAGGGGCAGCGAAGAAATGCCAAAAAGGAGCTTCTCGAGCAAGTCACGGGCACAACTCCCTGGAACCGAGACAGAAATCACATAGTATAAACGGATATTAAAAAAAAACGCACAAGAACCACTAACCCCTAAACCCCTAAACCCCGAACCCTTAAACCGTGAAGCCCTAAACAATTAAACCCATGCATTTTGGGCCACTACAGCAGAGAGTCGCACTCTTCACCTTGCTGAAGAGCTCCACAGAGAGGTTGCGCTCCATGAAGAACCTCTCCGCATGATGCAGTTCAGGTGCGAACCGGTAACCCCACATGTTGCCGACAGATAAGAAGACAGCCAGACCTACTCGCTGACGGGTGGAAAACGAACAAAACAAAGCGAAACATAGTTGAATCTCTCGTCGAAAGCAATGAAATGAATCAAAACGTCTGTCGCCCACACAAGAAAGGTTTGGAGTTGAAGGTGGGATGTCGTTTCAATACTTCACAATGAAAATAGTACTTTTGACGCGGCCTGAAGCCTATTACAGGGGTCGGAATGAA